TTTCGATATTTGAGGAAATTCTCAATCTAGATAATACAAATTTGGTGAAAGAAATGTTTAATTGTGACCACTTTATTATTAAACTCACGCAGTAGGTTATTATTATTGAGAAACTCTCTGACGATGACTTTCAACGACATAACCGATGATCGGCAACATAGAGACGGAGATACCTGAGTATTTATGATTTATAAAACTACTTCATACTTTTCTATGTGCGATCTCCATAGGTCCATTTTGAAATAAACTTCTCATTGTGGGAAATATGCTTAACTCTCTCCCTGGTTATACCAATCTATGCAAATGACAGCTAAGATGGTTACACATTCGTGCAAATACACCTATTACTCAGTAATAGGTTGTAAGTATATCAAGTTAGTTAGATCTACACAATTAACTTCGGTAACAATCAAAGTAATAAAAATGTTATTATAAATATATACCGTACCCAACTTAGACTAGTCTTACTCTTATCATCCCATCAACCATTTCACATTAATGATTGACTATTTGTTTAAACCTTACAGTTGATTTATAGTTTGTTATGTCATACATTGTCCCACTAACTCAGTCAGTTGATTTAGGCAACTTGACAGTGGTGTAATATTTAGAAGAATCCTACGAATTACTAATACATGAAAAAATACCGAGTATTTACTTTGTGCACAATTACACTTAGCATAACAGTATGGATATAATCGACTCAAACAATCAAATGTCATAACAGATTTAAAGTAACAATGAGTTTACCATGAATTAGGTTTTGAGAAACTCTGGTCGATAATACTGAAATCATATGGATTTCAGTTCACTTATTTATATCGAAAGTGCTTGTAACAATTACCTATATGCTAACAAAACCACAATGAACACATTGTAGTGACCTACTTTTACCAAGAGAACGCAATTTATTTAATGGAAACAATCACTATTATAACCAATTGTACCAGTGATTGTTTTACTGTGCTAAAGACAGTCATATAACTACTCAATTATCTTTCGATTGTGACCTTGCACGAGTTCGGTTACGCTCGGTAACCACGCTTGTACCCCTTTGGCACGATCTCAGTATCCTTTCGATACCACGAGATCGCCAACAAATAAATCTCGACTACAGCCATCAACTGCCTTCTGATATTTGGCTTACGGTGGTATTTTATTGGTTAACTGGCACGTAGTCTTCTTGTAATGGTGTTCATAGTTAACCACGACTCGACGCCACGCTACAACATAAAGCAACATCACAGATGGAAAAAAAGATTTTATGAATGCAAAGAATAATATTGCAATTTGTTAATAACAATCTCGAGTTGTCAATGAACAAACATAATCACCTAACGATCACATGAAAATTGGAAAATAAAATCGGAAATATCTGAATCGACATCATATTTATTCCAACATTGTCTCAAAAGTTTCTCATTTCGCCGAATCCTATCTACAACTTTGCTTATAAATTTAAATAAATTGAATAAGTCACTTCCACTTGGCATATTCAACTCTGTATAAATCGTTTCCAGTATCTTCTTCCAATTCTTACTGTAATCACTATAGTGTTGTTCTTGAGATTTACCATTCATCTTCAACTGTGGATAATCAAACAGTTCACTATTCGGCTCAAAAACACTCAAATAGGTGACCAATCGACCAAATATACTACTCGTCTTGTCAGTGACTGACGGTCGAGATGATTTCGTCAAATATTCACAGTCAGTATGATAATAAAATGGATCACTGGATATTTGACGGTACAGCTTCCGTAACTCAATCAGTCCATTCAAATCTTCGAAAAACACTATGCACACAGATCGCACCATTCGACTGGCAATCTCATGTGCTATTCGTGTACGTATAAATCCAGCTGTCAAGTCCTCGAAACACTTACTGATATCTAGTTTCAGACGACGCACCAAACCAACGTTATTTATAGGTCTGATTGGGTGTTTCAAATCACGATGATTCGTCGCCATGTCAAACACATACAGTTTAGAGACCCAACTACCAGTGATACGCATCGCTTCAATTTTATCATCTTCGTCTGTCAACCCATATCTATCCATGAGATCACTTCTCAGTATCGCACTTGCATAACTGTCTTTAAAAAAACCACACGGAACGAATCTGTTCTCTTGGAAATAATTGACAACAGCCGCAACCATCACTCGAATACATGCATCTGTCATTTCAGCATCGATCACATCCACCATTTCCAAACTGCTGGCAACATTGTCAACGGTCCAACTGCCATAGTACCAGGCACCATCTTGAAGATTCTTCACTACTAAGTCAGGTGTAGAGATATTTTCGACAGATGGCTCTCTATCAGAAGTAGTTGGTTCATCCGCATCCGACGATCCCGACGATTCCGCCACTTCCGCAAGTAGTCCAGCGAGAATCGCAGCACTGGCAGCATTCGCCAGCCATTTTCGAAGAGATGTGGAAACCGATTCACCAACATTTTTGTAGATGTATGCAGACGCCATTGCGGCAAACTTCACCCAGTCTTTCTTAACAGGTATAGAATCGTCTGTGTCGGACTCAGGCATCATACTCTCGTCGAGCATCAGCATGAATCGAGTGTCGGGATCAGATGAAGCAGTGAAAGACAATTCAAAATCGAATTCGCCATCTACGTGTCGTAAACTATCAGACAGAATGTGTCCTAAATCATTAGCCAAAGTATTCAAATCCTCAGTCTTCTCAACCATGTTCTACAAAAGAAGTTCAAAATCAAGACTATAAGGGTGTGTATATTGCTGTATTCACATTGATAAAAAGGGTTGTGAAAATTTCTAATAAACTATTACAAGATAGCGAAGAATGATGACTACCTAAACTCTATAAATTACTCATCCAACTAACAATTCCGCTAAAATAAGTGTTAGGGAATTTCTAATATTCATCACTACATTCATCTTCAAAGGAGGAACACATGTACATGTGGAACAGTTATCTTCTTTATAATATGAGTACCAGCTATATCATGAGAATTTTATAGCGGTAAATAAATCCCCAAAATAAATAGCTCTGTAACTGTTCGACATTCGATGCTGACCACATTAGTTTTAATGGACTCATCTAACTGAAGGCGAGCGGTCATGCATCCGCACCAAATCACGAGTGGGAACGCCGTCCTCAACAATCCCTGCAATCGCTAGCCAGATTAGATCAGACGATCCTCGATATATTGATAGCCTATCATATATATCTTCGAACTTCTTGGACTATGTCTTTTGATTTCACTTGGTAGGTACGATTCATATTAGAAGTGGTTACTGGTAAAAGTGATGTCAAACACCGAATACCTGTGGCATCTTCAATTTCACTTATAATACAAACATATGTTGTGATTACCACTTCATGTCAAATATGCAGATGAAAACACGATTAACGAGAATCGTCCCTATTCGTTCTTCCAAACATCTCTATAATCAGTCGCTGCTAAATGACTGTAAACAATTGGGATTGATTTTATGCAGATATGTGGTGACATTTTACGACAGACTCAATATTAATTTAAACACACAGATTAAGTCACAACAAAGACGTAATTCAGTGAAGAAATTCTTTCACAAGTTGAAATCATGAGCCAATTGAAGCTAGACCACCATGGAAAACCTGGAAGCACTGGACGGCCGTTTCGTCCTAGTATGGGACTCCTCAGCAGTGCGCATCCACGGGGGGGGGCGGGTTCGTGGTCTAGCTTCAATTGGCTCATGATTTCAACTTGTGAAATTTCTAAAAATCTCCACAAAACCCATTCTGAGAAGAAATTCTTCACAACCAACTCATTTTTTATAACTTGACAACACCGTATATGTGTAATGAATCTCAAACTTATACAAAATGTAAATATTCTTTTACTAAAGCTTATGAATAAACGACATTGTCGTAGCCTTAAATACACGATGTATATATATCAACAGACATTGACTGGTTAACAACAACGATAGGAAGTCACGCATGAAACCTCATAAAATAGGAAACCTTCCTTTCAACGAATATCCCGATCGAAATTTGTAGATGCTTTAAAATATTAACCTGAGTAGAGGTCATTAATTGGTTACATATTTCTAGTTAAATATTCAGACCAGGTAATTCAGTAGATATAAGAGATGAGTCGGCACTGGAAAAACTGAGTTAGCAACAATGTCACAAATGAAAAAGCCTAAATAAATGGTACTTACTAGGAATAAACATCAAGCCATAAACCAAATACAAACGTGAGGACACGAAGAAAGGAGACGCGGGTGAAAAAGGAGACATTTTGGCGCATTCCTCCATTGTTCAACCCTTATTTCCTAACGGAATATTCCCTTCATTTTCCATCTTTTGATTGCTTGAGGCGTTGTACATGAGTTTGTCCTATCTTACAGAATTTTCATGATCAATTTCAAAACAATGGCGAATTGCGCGATATAATAAACATTCACAAAATTATTTCGAAATCTAAGCAGAGATAAATAGTGGCTAGCAGTGGACCTCAAGAGAGGCGTTTAGTTCTATTCAGGTTTACCTAGCTAGATGTATCTGCATCCAAGTTGAAGTCCAATCTGGGACTCCAACCCGGTACCGTCCACTTCAAACTTTATCGCGTTTCCGCTCAGTAGGTAAATGGACAACTCAGTAGTGTTTGGATCGAACACCATTTTCTTCCAGTCACGGAGTGCACATAAACATCAAGCAGATCAGTCCCAAATACAACCTGACCGACATCCTGTATTTCACTGCTAGCTACCACCACTACCACTACTCATTTCTGCTTAGAACAATACTTGTGACTTGCAATATTCAGGCAATCCTCACAGAATCCAAATATGCCAGTAACAGACCGATTGATCCATTCTAGTCCTAAACTACAGATATTTTACAAACATGGTAAATATGTAACTAACTATCGGATAACTAAGTGTTTATTCTAATGCTTCACCATCATTACACTTTAAAGTTAATTCTATACACAAATTACTTGGTAATAGTTAATAGTCAAATAAACTTACTCACGTTTACACCACAATGTGTCATAGCTCGTTCAGTAATTTTGAAAACCATTAGCAATAACTCTCCTCTCGAGACTGAAGTAGAAATCAGCTACAGTATAACAGTATATTCAACAGTTTCTAAATCTCTCGGTACATCCTATTCAAAAAACCTCCCTAATTGGAAAGCAATATTATCCCTCTCATGGATTACAAACTAGTTATCTATCACAAATCACACACCAAGCTCACACGATTTGTTTAGGGGCTGGCTTGTCATTTAATACCGAGCATCATCAATACGCAATTGACCGGATCTTTTACATTACAAATATTATATTGTTCGCTCTATTCCCAATACAATAACCGAGGTTGTAAACACTATTAGTTGTCTTACATATTTCAGCTAAACAACTAACCAACTCATGTATTCTACACAATTCAGCACAACTATTTCCACAAAATTCTCTAAGGAAGGAATTCACATACCTGTTTCCTAAATGCTAAATACATTGCAACACCTGTAACATACACCGGAATTTCTACGGACAACAAATAAACTTACTTATGTGAATTAAGAATTGTTGTTGGGTCTGACTAATTTGAGGTTGTTAACTTGAATCAGTTAATAAGCCAAATGAAATTGGGTGATAACTAACGATCAGAATAAATATAGTTAACACGGTGTGAGAGAGAGAGGAAATAATGGAATAAAAATTACGTAATTACGTAAATTAATATCCACCCCACTAATTCTATTATTATGTCTGACTTAATTCATGTTATTCTACATATTACGAAAAATTCTGATTTGTAATTACAATATTCTCTCTCCATATCTCTATCTCTTACCACAGGTTGATGTCAATATATAGTGCACACGGTGTCGAGTCACCTAGACTGGTGGCCACATAGCAACATGGTCGATAGCATTCGATCTGCACTAAATAAGGACACGACACACATGACAATGATCACCACCTAGTGATCAATGAATTGTAACATGCTGACCATATTTATTCTGATCAGCATTTATCACACAATTTTATTTCGCCTGTAAACTGATTCAAATCACATATATGCAAACAAGTGTTATTCTGAGAAACTAACTCACATGATAGATAGACCTATTCTAGTCAACTCCAAATCTGTCTGCCTACTACTACTCAACTGTAGCACGTGTACACCGAGAATACAGAGGGTAGTATCTGAAGGAATCTCGAAGCATATGTAGGAAAATATCATATCCAACAACTACAGACTAACAAGTGGTCTCACACGACAAAAGTTATTCAATAAATATTAATAATGTCATTCAAATGATAAATAGAAAAGACACTAATAGACATCTATGTTACACCGAAACAGTACTATTCATCATAACAACTTCAATTCATCTGAACAAATGCAACTTACAGTTCACCTTGTGATAGCTCAGCTACGAGATAATTCCTTAGGCTTTCTATATCACTCGTCGCCCTGGTTAACCGTTATCACGTAACTCCAAATACGAAAGCGAACGAGTACAGGAATCAGTGACCACACCAATGCTAAATCGAATAAACCAATAAGATCCAAGCTTATATATTAATCGAGTGATTCAAGCAGTTAACATTTAGCCTTGAGAGAAAGAGAGGTATTTGTGCGTAGGCTGTCACATGTGATCTAGTTTATTTGCTCATCATGGGTATGATCATAATTTTCACTCTAAAATAATACAAAAATGGCCGTGCAGCCTAAAAGGACAAGCGTATGTCTGCCTAACCAAACGTCAAAATGATCCATTTCACCCCATTGAAATATTAAGCTTGTAACATTGTTACATACATAATGTAATGAGAATGTTAGATAGATAGATGTCCACATTAATTGATATAGACATTTTATAAAAACGTATAAATCTATCACTATTACGTGAACGGTAATCACAATTTTTTATTGTGAATATAATGATCACTATAGCAATACCAGATTATTGCACCTCTCCTACAATTAGGCTTATTTACGTTACCGTTAAATAGGTCAATCCCTCTAACTAACTTATTCACGGGATAGTGTTAGTAGAGGAATAGTAACAATTTATTTGTTTATCTTATCATCATCTTACTATACCACCTATGAAGAGCATGTACCATGGTTGATCATCACACGTGACAATCTACGCACAAACATCTCTCTCCAGTCTAAATGTTAGTTGCTTGAAACACTCGAATTAAATACACATGTATATGCTTGAATGTTATTATACTAGTTGGTTCGACTGGTTATTCCATGTTGTATTCAATTGGTCACTTGTTTGATCGCATTGGTATTTCTCTACGTATAGGCTTTGTGTGCTACTTTCGTATCTTAGTTATTTACTTTGTAGAATGAATAAAGCGTCGGCAACATTTTGTATTATCTTATGAACCCCATAGACTGTTTCGAGTTACGTAATAACAGTTGATCAGAACGAGTTATAAACGAAGCCTCAGAAGTTGTCTCGGAGATAATTCACTACAAAAATATGCCAAAACAGACTGGTCAGTCGTAGTCCTAAACATCAATAAGAAGATGCAAATGATATACAAATGTATATTGACTCAGTTTCAGTTTTGCATTCCACTCTAACTTGTTTGTTTGATTTGCCCACACGACTAATCTAACTAGCCATCACACGCAAACACACATAGAGATACAATGTGTGGCTTTTAATTATTCGTTACAACTTAATACGTTTAACAATATCATGCTTATTTTATAGTGCCCAGAAGTAATCGTTGACAATGTTTTTAAACGTTTTGAACAGTGTAAACATTTGTTCCTACTGCTCGTTATACATGGTATTTCGAATTCTGAACAAATGCATGAAATTCCCATTCTTTATTGTGATTGACTCTTCCCTTATTTTATTTTGACATTTTTTTTATTTGAACACATATGTATTGGTACAAAGAGGCACTGAATACATTTGCGCCACACAACTCACTTGATTTGTCTCTTGGTTGGAATACTGTCTGGGTGCCCAAACCGAAGCAGGTGGTTTTCTTAGACGGCCACACCCGGAGCCTACGACCTAAAGGTTTGATCCACAAGGCAGTGGAGTAACGTCAGGAAATGCGATCTCATGGTAGCCGGTGACCAACGACTGATCCATTCGCCATTTGTTCCCTTAGGAAACTGAAGCCCATGTGCACCATTGCTTTGAAATCAGGGGTTTCCAACTGCCCTAGGTGGACTCTCTGTGTTCACCGACCCGGTTAAAGTGCCTGACATCCACTTTTCGTCCTCTCAATTTCGTAAACAACACCCGTGGTGCGAGAAGGCAATGAGTAGGAATTCCCTGACAGTGGCTGTATAGTTGTGGCCATGTGAGAGCATTTTTCGAGAGGGAAAGTGAACTCTCCTCACCTTCGGTCATACCAGTGTATTAAGGGGCTCGTCCCTAGACTATATTTTTACTATGAAAACAAAAAAGATAATTTGTTGACTTTAAGCGTCCGGTTACACTAACAACACTACTACTACTACTTCAACTTTAATATCGTTTGTAAGTTAAAAGTTGATATTCTACTTATAATTCACATGTTCTAACCATGTTAATCAGAATATTGGAAAATAAATCAGCCAAGTATCTTGACTTTTTGATTTATGAATCCTATCAATAAGAATTTGAAACACCTGATAACTATAATACTATAGGGACAGGGAAATGTCACTGAGCCTTTTGTGTTGTACAGTCTTCAAACCATCCATAGTACCTTGATACGATGTAGGCGTAATCCACGTTGCGTGCTGACCTCGAAGTGTGGCTTCGACGTCCGCTATTGGTCAGAACATTCCTGTCCAACTCGAGTAGGCCCCCAATCATTCGACATAGACCATCTGCTTTGATGATCTACAATACATTGCAAATAATAAAACAAAATACTTGGAAAAGATTTGAGAAATTTTCGACACAGAATTAAGTATTACACTAATGATTGATTGGAGGATAATTTACAAACAATATGATACAGTGACAATAATTGAGTTATAAGATAACTGTAAATTATGGCCAAGCGTTTAATGGGTAATTCCGTACATTTTATTTCTCATCACATCCTAACATCATAAGACATTGCTAAAAATATCTGATTATGATCTACCCATAACCGATTCAATAAATACATACTTACTATTTATTTCCGCCTGTTACTCCTAGTGAAGGAGCATAGGCCAAACACCAGCATTCTCCATTCATCTCTGTCCTGGATAGTCCTTTCAAGTTGGTAATCATTCAGACGGACTACGTTTTACAAAAAAGATCATTTTCATTTTTTAAACGATTATGAAAGTTTTCAGAAGTTTGGATCTTCAGTTACCTTGTTTTTTTTGTTTTTATATCGTTCGTAACCCTTTGCATGACTTCTTCACATTTCAGGAACATTTAGAACTTTTATAATTCGCTATAATCAGTCAATTTAGCAATCACTTCAAAATGATACGATTTCCTGTTCGTTTAATTGATTATTATATACCACTGAGCCGGCATCCAACGGTGTTAATGTCTAACTTCAACCAATCCACGCAGTTGCGCCACCGTACACCATTGTCTTCAGTGAGTTGATATCGCAAAACAGACTTGGTTGAACTCCACTGGTAACGGCTTCTCACTAGAACTCCAGAAGTATCTCTTACAGTCAGTCACCAGTGAGCAGATGAATATTATCAGAATGGGTTCTATGGAGAATTTAGAAAATTCACTGGTTGAAATCATGATGCACGCTTCTGAGGAGTCCCACACTAGGACGAAACGGCCGTCCAGTGCTTCCAGTTTTTCCATGATGGTTTAGCTTCAATTGACTCATGATTTCAACCAGTGAAATTTCTAAAATCTCCACAAAACCCATTCTGATGATTATTCTATGCCATCTGTTCGGAAGATGACAATGTTTTCAAGAAATACTATCCACTAAGTATGCAGTTTACTAGGTATCGTTTCAAGCTTTCCAATTAGGTTGGATTTATAACCGGCTAACTAGTAAATTCCTAACTGTTCTCTGGAAAAAGGCAACATAATTTCTCAAAAAAATTAGACTATTTCGAATTCCAATTAATCCTGGCCTGTATCGTGGTGTCGAGTCACGGTAGACTATGAACACCACTACAAGAAGGTTGCGTACAGAATATCCATAAAATCCATCGGAAGCCAAATATCAGAAGGCAGTTAGTGGACGTAGTTGAAATATATTTGCTGGCGATCTCGTGGTATCGAAAGAATACCGAGATCGTGCCAGGATACAAGCTTGGTTACTGAGCGTAACTGAATTCGCGTGAGGTCACAATCGGAAAGGGAAGAATAATGGATGTTTTTAGTACAGTTAAACAAACAAGCACAGTAAAACAATCACTGGTACAATTCGTTATAATAATGATTGTTTCCATTAAACCAATCGCGTTCTCTTGGTAAAAGTAAGTCACTACAGGTCTATCAAAGACGATGATGATCATTAGGAATCTAATAAATAAGAAACAGATTAACTCGCTACTGAAATGAACGACGAAAATAGTTGAGTAAGATTTAGCTATGTATTGAAGAACTTAAATCAGTCCGTGATGAATGCTGAC